GGCAGAACAGACAGTCATTGTTACAGAATGTTGCCACGGGAGATGTTCAATATGCAAAACAAGATATACAAGGTAGCTCACATCATCACATTCTGTTGCTCACTTCCTTGCAAGAACAACACTAGCGCATTCTACCATTGCCCATCCTCCTACAAGTTCTAAGCTTCCTCATCCACTCTGTTTCTCTCTCACTCCATTTGGAACTGATCTCTGTTTGTCTTAATAACCTAGAGTCTAGACACACTAAGTCTGAACTTCATTTGCTAGAGACAGCTTTGATTGGAGATGGGCTTGCTAGCAGTAAACACTTCTTTTATGCTCAACTATCCTCTTATATCCCTGCAGTGTGTGTAATAGGGATGTTAAATTTCATTTAGTCAACTAATCGACTGCTGGCTCCTAATACATTTAAAAGGCTGAAGAGCAGCAGGGGGGATCCTCTGCGAACTGGGACAGCTGATTCCTGGCTCGCACCAGATCTCCCACCACTGTGCACCATCTTTAAATGTAAAAAGGCTGGAGCGCAGCAGTGGACCCGGCGTGAATCAGGAATCAGCTGTCCCGGCTCACACCAGGTCCCCACACTGTGCTTCTGATTTTTAAATGTATTAAGAGCCAGCAGGAGCCCAGCACCAGCTCCTGCTCCCACGCTTTCTGCTGCTTCTGATAGGAGCAGCAAGGGGCAGGGAAAGCAATTTGTCGACTATCCGATAAGCAAAAGCTTATCGGATCGTTGACTAGTCTTATATCCCTAGTGTCTAACTTACATTAGGCTTACACACTCATTGCCAAACTGGAATAAGTTGTACTACTTTACCATTCACACTTGTTTGTAAGTGGTAATGTAGTATAACTTCTAGTAGTATAACTTTGGCCTCAATGTAACTCATACCTTCATTGTAAGGCTTCAAAGAATTTGGCTCAGATAACTTTTTGGGAGTTGCACTCATACCAGAGATTAATTTGGATTGACATATTTAATAGCATTAATTACTGCTCTTTTTGGAGACCGTGGAAGAACACTAATATAAAGCAATAGTGGGGTGAGTCAATACACATAAGTTGCACTGCTAAGACTCATCAAAAGCAGCTTGGCTGGTCTGTTAAGCAAAGTTTCAATAAATAGTCATTTAATTATTCAGATTAATTTTCTAGGACACTTTAAACTTCTTAAAGTCAAAGGACCGATGCCTCAGTCTTGGCACCTTGTCCTGCTCATATGGCTACTCTAACAGGACAGCTGGGAATTTGACTTTCACAGACCTGACTTGCCATCCCCAGCCTAGAGTGTGGGAGGATTCATGTTAGAAAAGGAGGGGGCATGGAAAGAGTATACTGAATGCAGGTGATCCCCAGCTGATGCAACAGTCTCATAGATGTTGTTGCCACAACCAGTATTTGGCTTTGTCTATACTATCACAGGTCATCAACCAAAGTGAGGCCTAGGCCACAACGGTCAATTTTGTTAATATAAAACAAAGTGAAGCTGTGAGCAAGAAGCAGGCCCTGCTCACAGAACCTGGCAGGAACAGGGCTGATGCTGCAGAAACACTCATACCTAAAAGGTACTAGGCACAGGACATGAACATATTTCAGAGGGATGGTAAAAGAGCATCTTGTTAGGAAACATCTTGGTACCAACCCACACTCAACACAGACAAAAAGGACGTACCGACCTAGGATCAGGATGGGGTCCAGCATGAGGGACAGCAATACTTGATTGAACTACCATGTACGAGGTAATGGATGTATCTAGGTCAGAGGATGGCAATCTGATACGTCAGGAGCTTGGGCCCGCCACAGGCAGGGGGGGCAAGCAGCGGGGGAAAGAGGGCGCTGGGAGGAACCAGGGGGCACCACAGAGACAGTGCTGTAGGAACGGTCTTTTAAGCCAGGTCCCACATAACACTGACTCCTGCTTCCTCCCCTTGCTGCATCTGATACAGAGGCAACAAGGGGAGCAGAATGTGAGTAGCCGTGTTGTCAACTCAACTAGCTGCTTACATCCCTAGTGTGTAGTATTACAGGAATCTGTGGCTAGATCTGGAACTACATTATTCAATGTGAGTTTTGTAAATTATTCTTCCATAAAAGCATTTCAGATGTGCTTTCTAGAAGTAAATATGAATTCCAAGATTTTGCAGGAAGTTCTGATGCATTTCTGTTTACTGCAGTAAGTATAATATATACTGAGAAACTTTTTGTGCTTTAATTTTCAACTTTGTGGAAATCCTTTGTTAGAAGTTAACTCTACCTCTTGTGTCTGAAAGCGTCTGAAATATAGCACAAGTGTGATACTAGCAAATGATGAGAAGATATGCTGAAAAGGAAAGCAGATTTTTTTAAATCCCTCAGTTCTGAGAATCTAACAACCTTAAGGCTAGGTCTATACTGTAGGCTTAGTTCGAATTAAGCAACTCCAGCTATGTTAATTGCATAGCTGGAGTAGAAGTATCTTAAATCGACTTCACGGAGGAGGTCGACTGGAACACACGCTCTCTTCAACTTCCCTTACTCCTTGTAGAAGCAGACTACTGGCATTGATGGGAGCACCCTCTCAGTTCAAATTAGCATGTCTTCACTAGACCTGCTAATTGGAACCCCAGAAATCAACTGCTGTAACTTCGATCTTCTCTGTACTACAGACATGGCCTATGTTTTCTTAAATACAAACAGTTCTTTTTGACTTTCAATGGGGTTGTATTTTTCCACATCTTTTCTCCCTAAGTGTCTCGTTCAGACCCTGGGATGCTACTGTAGTGGTCTCCAAAATTTAATAAAAGAATAAATTGATTTTTGCAACTGTTCAGGAATAAGATGATGATGGAATGATGATCTGAAGGGAGAAGAGCTGTTGTTTGGGATGAAGAGGTCTTCATAATACTGTCAGTCTTTAAAAAACAAAAAACAGTATGGAGATCACAAACATGTGGCATTTGCAATGTATAACATATAGCATGGACTGCCAAACTTTGTTTATATTACATCTTGATTTAACAAATATTCTTGCATTCCTAATTAGAAAAGATAACGTAAGCTTAGTTTTGAGTAGTATGTTCTTTAATTAACTTGATCCGACAGTGACAAGTTTCAGTTCACTGGAGTTAAGTAGCTTTAATTGAGACTTTAGGAAAAGTTCTGCATATAAGGAAGTTAATTCTAAAATGGTTAGACACTTTTGTGTACATATAAAAGGTAACCAGCAATACTCCCTGCTTTGTAATACCACTGGAGTTACTTATGCCTTTTCTTGAACAATTAAAAAATCCTTTCAGAGATCTCATTCTTTAACATATGCAGTATTGTAAATGTCAGATTTACCTAGTTAAATGTTTCCTGCAATTCTGTTCACTATATGCCTATTCTGCAACTACTGAATGACTCCTATCTAACTAACTCAAGAGCTATGACGTCTCCCTTCAAGGTTACTGTCTCAATCACTTGGGTAGATTTCTCAGGAAGATATCTTATTATTTCAGGTTTGAAAATGCAACAAGTTTTTTTGTCCAGACCATCCCCTAAGAAAGGGGCAGATATAACAGTTTAAATAACGTATTCCTTCAATTATTTTTTCCACTTTTACTATAGTCTTATATAACCAACTCCTTTTGGATGGCTTGTTTCAGGTAATACACATTTTGACATATAGGGGAATGGTGATCCCAGTGATAGCAAGTGCAACCAACAAGTTCAGTGTATGCCTGTATCTGTCTGTCTCTCTGATCACCACTTGAATGGAGGTCAAGGTTATAGACTTGCTATTATTGACCACACTATTTCACATCAATGTTCATTTTCATGAAGAAGAACAAGTGCTATGTATTTTCTGTCTTTGTGATCTTTCAAGAAGCTGCAAATTCATTAATTGTTGTAGGGATGAGAGAAGCAATGGAAAAAAATACGCTCCCTATGTCTGATACATATTCCTGGAAGGAAATAAGATTTAATGCCTTAAAAAATAGTTACTCATTAAGGATCAATTACTGGTTAAAACAAATCAAGAAAGCAAAGGCAAGAGTAAATAAACATGGTCAAAGATTGTTTTTTGTTTGCGTAGTCTCTGGTTTAAGAGGATAATGAGAAAAGAGCAATGCCAGACAGTGATGTCACCACATGAAGATAACAAAGGAAGCTGTCCAGGCTGAGAAACTAGAGGCTCCTCTTTTTCAGCCAAAAATTATAAGAACACCACCTAAAAATATTAGTGCAGAGCTGTTTAAAAAATTTTAAAAACAGGGTTACAAAAAAAATCTTTCTAGTTTTGATTTAGCGTGTGTATTGCTTTTTCTTGTTTGCATAGTTTCCACAGCAGACTTATGCTTACGCTTTATAAATTCATTAAAATCTTCGTCTATAACCCATCGAAAAACAATACATCTTAAGAGAAAACGTTTCATCTCCTTTCCAATTGGTTGGAAGGCAAAAATAGGTGACACTGAAAGAAACAAAGAAGTCTCACGTCATCCATGGGTGTAGGTATATTTAGCCAGTTGCCAAACTTGAGACCTGGCACACATTAGTTCCGCCAACCAAAGCTTTTATAGAAAAACAAACAAACAAACAAACAAACAAACAAACAAACAAACCACTTTCACTGTCGGTTGTGTAGTCATAGTTTTGGAAGAGAGAGGAACAATCCTCCCCTCAAAAAACAAAAAAGCCTTCCTGTTACTTAAAAGTGAAAGGCTCACTTGGCAGTGTTTTCAATAAACCAGAAGCCCCAAGGAAAAGCGACACCTACCCTGGATTAAAATAGTAAACAGTTGTGGTTGTGTGTGCGTGTGTGTTTGTGTGTGCGTGCGCTCCTCTCCTTCCCACCTTTTTTCTTCTCTCCCCATCTCTTCTTTCCTCGCTCCCCCTCTGCCTTGCTGTACCTCTCCCCTTTCCTGTATCCCACCTCCCCCTCTCTCTGTGCATGGCTGTTTGTCCCTCTCTGGGCACGTCTGTCTCCTTCACCCCCGGCCCCTTCGGTGCCTGCCTCGCTCCCCTCTCTCCAGTACCTGATATGGCGGCGGCGGCTCCTGATCCGGCTCGGTCCCGTCTCCGTAGCTGGCTCTGTCCGACTGGGATTCGTGCAGCAGGGAGATGTCATCCGAGGTGGGGGACTTCAGGCAGTTCCCCATCGTCCCCGATTGCCCTCCTCCGCCTCAGTCTCCTCGCCGCGCCAGGCCGCTCGCAGCAGCAGCCGCCGCC